TGACACCGTTTACAAAAAGTAAAACCTTGGTCAACTCTTCAACTTTAAGCCTCTAAATAAATGAAAATTTCTCTTCAAAATCATTCTTGAACCTCTCGAACGTCGAAACTAATCATTCACGCAATTCATACTGCATCATATGAAGATACTCAAGACCTCAAACCACTAAACGGGGTGGCAATACTCAAAACGACTAATCGAGTCATTACATTCTCCCCCACTGAAACATACATTCATCCTCGAACGTGCAAGAGTCATTCCAACGCCATTAAACCACCGCATAAAATCAATATACATCTACCTATGGGCGATCCCCCGTCATCTCAATTTGTTAAAGCCCATCAATATAACCTAATTGAATATTTTTTTCTTCTACCTTAGTCCATAAACCATAGAACTCAATCTCCAACATCTAAAATTTTATGTGTGTGTGTGTGTGTGTGTGTGTGTATATATATATATATATATAAACAAGTCGCATCGAGTCCCAACCATATTCCAAGATACAATCACACGATGTACCGCATAACTCACATACTCATAACAATAACTCCCGGCCATAATAGCCACTCATTATCAAATCTGGTACCGGTAAATTACCACATATCAAATAAAACCTTATTCCAAACCTTCAAAACACCACTAATAATGAAAGAAACATGGAAAAATTCATAGCCATCCATAAAATCAATAAGTCGTGTTGTCCTTACGGCTGATAAGGACCATTGCCAAACTCTAAGTTGAATAATGATATTTTTATCCAAATGTACCTTACCCAAGTCTGGTTGCACTTATTCCAGGTCCAATGATCTCATCTCACCCAGTACAAGCTATCCGATCGACAAGCCACACCAAATGCCTCCTAGTTACATATGACGCTATTCGTGCACCTAACAAGCAACAACTCGAGTATAACCAAAGATGGAAGGAAAGCTAAATAAGAGAACCACCCAACAAGTTCAACAATTACCACCACAAAACACAATGCTATGAACCCATCTCACAAGAGAGAGGCAAAGCACACGAAATAAGAATGAAGAATCCTGTTCAATCATAACTCCGTTATGGCACGTAGCCCAGTCCTACCATATAGCGATCCACATGGAATACCCAACGAGCCATAATGCTCACAACAACAACCACATGTGTATCAGTAGAAAACACGCAAAGTGCATGACATAACCATAAAGAAACGTATAGCACAATATACAATAGATAAGAAACCATAACCATGCCGAAATAAATATTTCAACACACCAGGAACCACCCCGCTCGAATCTCACCACAAAGGCCTAAACAGAATCAAATCATGTGTATAGATAGTCAAGTAGTCTCACAACCCATTGTAGCATAAAAGAGCAATACAAGAGACACGCCAGGATATGAATAAGATCGACTCTAACCAATGGCAACCCCTATCAATTGATGTTCTGAGTAAACAAACCTGATTTGGTGTAGAATGCACATTCTTATTAGGCCTGCCAATGAGCCCCAAACCATTCCCGATAGTCCCAAAGCGGGTAAATAACCATTCAAAAGTCCACAATAACCTATCTGTAACACATACCATCAGCTGAATAACTCTTCACACATCTTCACAATCTTCAATCAAGGAATAGTCTGCCTTAGAGAATATCCAGCCTTTAAGCCTCAAGAATATAACCCAACCTGCTAGATAAGCCAAACGGTATAAGTTCCTACGAAACTGGAAAAAAATTCAACAATATATACTTAATAAAAACTACAACGAAATTTGATACATCTATCCCAATGAATAATAGTACAAGTCTTGAGCCACTATTATTTAGATTTACAAAGCCGATGGAAGGAATAAATATAATATTTGTCTGAAAGTTACATAAACATAAAAGAAATCTACGCTACCATGAACAAAAAGGTAGTTGAATCCAATATGCTGGTACATCTCCAATGCAAGCTTTAGAATTTGCACACAAGATGTAGAAGTATAGTATGAGTACAACCGATCTCATGTACTCAGTAAGTATCTTGATTAACCTTAGAGAAGTAGTGACAGGATTTTTGTAAGTCAAAAGACACTCAGTTGCAGAATTTATGCAGCTCGATAATATGTATAACACGGAGAAAATATTCCAAATAGAGAGTTACAGAATAAGGAATATCAAAAGTAGAAGTGCCCAACATGATTTGATTCCGTATCAATTACCAAAGAACACATTCAAGAGAACCTTTCGAGAATCAAATGTATTAATACATGATGACAAATTCCTTTCTACATCAATCTGTTATGCTACCAATAACTCAACAAAATATGAAATGTCAGCTCACCATAGGTAATTCCATCCTGGCAATAAAATTGTCAAATAACAACAGAGGCATAGATTAATATGTTAGGTGCAATGTAAAAGCGTGTAAAATGCATGACAAATCATAAGAAATTCACTTGAAAAATCAAGACAACACTCAGTTTTGACAATAAGTCATCAAATAGAAACACTAACATATGGCACCTGCCCTCATTTTTGTCAAATAATAATATCTACCCTTATCACTCTGTCCTGAAAAAAATCACAATATCCACCCATATCATTCTGCCTGACACAAATCATAATATCCAATCGTATCGTTTTGCCCCGACAAAATCACAACATCCACTGGTATCACTTCGCCTAACAAAAATCGCAATAGCCACCCGTATCGCTCCACTCTCACAAAATCAAAATATCTACCCAAATCGCTCCGCCTGACAAAATTGCAATATCCACCTGTATCACCCCGCCTGACAAAATTACAATATCCAACCGTATCGCTCCGCCTTGAGAAAATCACAGTCGCCACCCATATCACTCTGCCCAACGTGTCCACATGCGCCACAATCACAACAATACAAAATAACAAATCATAATCAAGAAGCATACCCTCATAACTCATCTATAAAGTGCACAAGAACATAATCAACAACAATGTGAATGGGGTTCAACACATAAAATATGACTACGACAAAATCAGATATAACAATCAAGTTCAAGTAGTCATATAAAGGATCGCATATGTATCACAGAGTGCACACGTCCCAACCAAGGCACAATATAAGAACAAGTACGAATGTGTGTTCATAACATATGTATATCTACCACCGAGGCAAGCTTAGCACAAATCTCAAGATTTACTCTTCATGTTCAACATAAGGCACCGATAGCCTCAACATTTCTTTAGCATGGTTTATTTTGCTCACGTAGTCGATTAATTAAAAAAAATATATAATCAAGTAAAACACACAACCAAACAAGGCATATGATAAGATATAATCTACCCGAGCATGAACATCCATAGCACATGTGTATACGTTCGTCACCTCATATATGCATCACCCTCGCATGTTGCAAACAATATCAATTAGTAAGAAAATTCCCTCAACCAAATCTAGGCAAGGCTAATAATAATAATAATAATAATAATAATAATAATAATAATAATAATAATAATAATAATAATAATAATAATAATAATAATAATAATAATAGTAAATTTTTGTTTGCTCAAAAAAAAATAATAGTAATAATAATAATAATAACAATAACAATAATAATAATAATAATAATCTCTTCCATTAAATAAAGGAAAAAGGACCAAAAATGCCCCTCCATTATGGAAAATAAAGCAAAGTTATCCTTATTTTGAATTTGATCTCGCACATGCCCTTACATTAGTGGATTGGTTCACATTTGTCTCCTATCTATGGGAAATACAGCAAATTTATCCTTCGCTTATCTTTGGTTCCAAATATGTCCTTATCATAAGTGAACTAGCTCATATTTACCCCTCAAAAGTAACAGACTTTTAACTTCTTACTTTTATCCATTTAAATATATTTTATTATTACGAAGGAGTGCCACATTGCAAGACAATAATTATTAAAAATTTCTTGTAAAAAAATTTAACAAGAAAATTACACAGACAAAAATGGTTAGAAGATCTGAAATATATCTAATCGTTCATCATCTTCATGTATTTCCCCTATTTAAAAATCTTTACGCTCCTTAAATTTAACAACAATTAAACAGAACACAAATTTTAGAAAATCAAATATTTTTCATGGGAAAAAAATAAATCTTCATGAACCCAAATAGAAATTGAAATTCTTAGCTCTCGTTTGGACATAGATTTTGGCTACTTTTTTTTTTTTTTTAAAAAAACATTGTTTCTTCATGGAATTTGATTAGTTTTTTAAAACAAAAACTGAAGAAAAATTGGGTAAAAGTTTTTCTTCCACTCACAACACTTCAACATTTTTTCAACTAAAATGCATGTCCAAATACAACTTCAACTTCAAAAAATTATTTTTCAACATAACTTTAAAAAAAATAATTTACAAGTTTCAATAAAATCTATGTCCAAACGCTAGCTAAAATTAGTGAAAAATTAAAAGTAAATTACATGGAGTTATTATATACATTTAGCAACAAGTTTTGATATTGCCAAGGAAACTGCCATCCTTGTTATGCCGGAAAGAACAAAATCTGTAAAATATTAATTTTATTACTTTGAAATTTATGCATATAATTGCAATTGCGTAAACCAAAAAGTAGTGATGGTCACAAAGACAAATACTGAGAGATATGATTAGATATCCTTTGAGCAAAATAAAATATTTTATAAGTCTTTTATTTAAACAAATTCTACATGTTCTTTTTCTCTCATTTTATTCTCTTCTTCTTCCTCTTGTTTTAGAATTAGTAACCAAATAGATATTTGACCCTAAAATAGAAGGATCGATAAAAAAATAATTCCGTTATTTTTGAGGTGCAAATATAAATCTCTACTCATAATAAGGGCATATTTGAAACTAAAGTCAAATTGAGGGCAATTTTGCGCTATTTCCTATGGCAAATCTAAACCAAGTTACTAATGATAAGAGCATGTCTGAGACTAAATTTAAATAACGACAAATTTGCTCTATTTTCCATAGTTGAGGGGCAGTTTTGACTCGTTTCCTTAAATAAATGCTGTATGACTTCATCTAATGAAACACGTTTCTTTGCGTATACGTAAGGCTATGCAAACTCGTACCAACGATGAGCTTTTTGCAGTCTACATCACAACGAAATGAATCACGTTCCTCAAACTTGGGTGTAATGTCTTAGCTAAGGTTATATTTTATGATTACAAAATTTCAGAAGCTTAGGTTAAAAGAACGGACATGCACACAGCCCAACTCACAAGAGCTCACTCTTCTGCAATAAAATGCAATGCATCTTTCTGTTCCTTGCTAGGGCCCTCCATCGCAGTTCCCCCTTCTCTGTCAAAAGTAACCCAGGTTGCAGTTGTTCCCTCTGGGGCTTGCCTATCATTACTGCTTGCTTTTTCTTCACACCAGTCAGGTGATGCCGATACAAGCTGATTCTACCCTTATTTATAGGCCAGTAAAGTTAGAGAAGCTCTTGAGCGCTTTCTCCTCCATTTCAACAAGCTGACGGCAGAATATTTCAACACTGTGTGCCTCTTCTCTCAATGGAATTCTGAACTCCCTCCACTGATATTCACGAGAACCATCGCTCCTCACTGGACCTAAAACTTTTCCTAGCACATCAAATCCTTTCTGATCTATAGAAAGCAGATAGGCATCCTTCACATAAAACCAGATATCAGTTTCTCTTCTGCGCATCAGCCAGTAGTAATTTATATATTGACTGAATGACAATGCAAATTAGCAGGCCAAGGACAACATCTGTTGATGTTCAGCATGGAATTATGGCTTAAGGGTGTCACGAACAGTAACAAGCAGGAACACATCATGATATGCTACAACAATTATAAGTCAGACATAATATCAAAGGATCTCCCAGTCATGAAAGCTGGAAAAAAAATGGCCGTGAACATGTGTAAACATTTGCCCGGTTATGCACAAACAATGTTTCGAGTTTAATCAATTGACACACAAAGGTTTATTGGCCCTAAATACACTGCTAGAATTTATCTTCGAACTTCCAAACGAAAGTAGAAGTAAATCGCCTACTAGATTATTAGCAAGAGAACTCAGAGAACAAATACATTTTAACCAAAGCTTTCAGGGACTACCAGAAGATCACCTTTGCATTCTTACTCAAGTGTGTGATGCAGAAGAGAATTAGAGCTCTACGCCTCGCCTCACTTTGATTAATTCCATCAATTAGGCTCATAGTATATGATGCTACAAATGGAAAACATACACTTAGAGCATAATGCTAATGAGAATGCATTGGTCCTCAAAAAGATAAGATACGCAGCAAACATCAACCGTTGAGTTCTAAGACTCTTACATAAAGGATCAGGCTTTGTTGCTTGGACCTCCTCAAGACCTACTTCATGAGTCCCTCCAGTACTATCAATATACATGCATGAGCTGTGGAGTAGATAATTTTCCATATGTCAAGACATATTTCTAGTCAGTTCTCAGATTTATTTAATTATTCCATCCATCCAATTTATGTTATACATTTTTCATATTGCAATGTTCCAAAAGTTTTTTTTTTTGTTGGGGAGAAAGGGGGGCGGTTAATTTGGTGGGTGAGGTTTACCATAGAAGAAAGTTCCCAAAATTGTTTGCACACTTGTACACAATAATGTACTCGGAGGTTTTCAAGAGTTTAAAGCAAATAAGCAATTCAAGAATAAACAATAAGCTGAAACATCAAAGTCAGAAAAGTACATTAGTATTTTTATCAACCATTATAATATGCAAGTTAACTAACTCCATAATTTTCAAGCACAGTAAAATTGCATCACATGCACAACTAGGAGTGGCAAACGGGCAGGCCGGATCGGATATGGTTCGGGTCGAAAACGGGTAGTGAAAAAACGGATCAATTATTCGACCCGACTCATATTTAATACGGATAAAAAAAACGGGTTAACCAGAGAATAATATGGGTAACTATATTATCCATGAATTTTTGCATATGATCACTTTTGGGAGAATTCTTAGTCTCCCTAACTTGAGTAACCCCCAATTTGAGGCTTTAAAATGTAAAAGTTAGACCCATTGGTTATCCATTGGTTACTCATTGGTTACCAATTTTCTAAATGGATAATATGGTTCTTATCCATATTTGACCCATTTTTAAAAAGTTCATTATCCAACCCATTTTTTAGTGGATAATATGGATGGTTAACTTTTTTTTTTAACCATTTTGCCACCCCTATGCACAACCAGGGCGTACATTAAAGAGAAGCTACAGCCAAGTATTTCTGGAGATCCAATCCCATTTATCTAAAAGGTGGCAAATTTTTAATATATGTTTCATCAAAAAGTTCACTAGGTATTACCTAGGAGGATAAGAACATCAATCATCAATCACAACGATTAGCAATCAAACTAGGTTCCAGAGCCAGCCATGCTAATAGTACATTTAATAAAGAAGTGCAAACGTAAGGATCTCATCTCAAGCTTCTTTTGTTTTCTAGTTGAATAAGTAGTCATCTCAACAGCTTAAAGTCATTTCCATGTTTGACTCAGTTTAATATTGCAGAGGGCCAGAAGGTTAGGAGGAATCAAAGATCACACTTTAGAAGACTACATAATAATCCTTATCTATAAAAAAAAATAAAAATAAAAAGATTACATGATAATCTAGCTTAATTAAATCTTTTCACCTTGGATTGAACTTGAACACAACATATCCTTTGTCCGCATCAAATAATTCCTGGAGATTGTCACCTCGGCATGTAACACCAAGGGAAGATGAACTCAATATACCCAAAACGGTGTAAGAGAATTTCTCTATCATGCTCCTTTCAGATGATATGACTTCCTTAAGGCTCTCTCTAGCAAATTTAGCCTTTCAATGGAGAGAAAGAAGAAACAGTCAGGGAAATCACTTCTTACTGTTCCGCATGAAGTTGTTTAGTGAAAAGAAATAAATTTCATTCCAGTAAGGGGTCTCTTTTAGCTAGTCAATTTAGCTGTATAACAGGTAATGGTTACCGAGCTACCACTATATCAACTCAGCTCCTCAGTTAGCCTATACTACACAAAATGGTCTAACCCAACAGTTTTATGAAAAGCAGAAATATAACTATGAGAAGCCATAAAATAACTTGCAATCTCATCAACGTGTGCAGAGTGTCAGCAAAAGTTAGCAATGATTTGCAGATTCTTTTGTAATTTGCTAAGCCTCCTCCTTCATTAGTCAATGCCCAACATCTTAATCTTTAATAGAGCCAAAAAGCTAAGCTGCTCCGACACGGCAGTTTAGGTGCCGCACCCGTGCCAACACGATACTAGTATGAGGGTGGGTATGGGATCCGTACCGGATTTGGTCAAATAATTTTTGGGTACTTTGACCATGACGGACGGAAAAATTCGAGACGAATTACAATTTGATTCCGGAAATTAGAACCAAAACTAGGGTAAATTTGAAGAAAATAGCATACCTTCTCTAGGAAATCAATCTTTTATTTATCTACAACATGAGAATAAAAAAAAATTCACACTTTACAAACTATACGTAAGTATTCCACAAAATTTCTCATAATTTAAAGATATTTTATATTTTTATTTTTTTGAATTATTTTTAGCCGGATCTCCGCACCCGTATCCGTACTAGGATCCATATCCCCGAATTTTGAATTTACATCTCAAAGGATCCGACCTCTAGATCCGCACCTATGTCGGACACCCGCACCCATGTCCGAGCAACTTAGCCAAAAAGTAAACCTAAATTACTGAACTATAAATAACATGAAAATTTAGGCTGCCATCACTGTAATTGGAGTAAGCAAAAGTTAGAGCTGCTTCATAACTTTCATTTTGATTTTCCTTAGTCTTCCTCCTCATTATGGGATGGTCCAATTTTAACCTATCTTGTTTCGTCTATCCAAACAAGCTGAAGAACCACGGCAAAAGTATTGGTATTAATAGGCATTTAACTGTCAAAGAGCAAGGTAAATCTCAAATGATAGTTACTGAAAAAAAAATCCCAAATGATAGTTATCAGCTGAAATTCAAAACTATCCTGTTGGTTGTCCTCCACTTCCGGCCCAACTTGAGAAATGTTTCTGGCTAACAGTGGATTGAACTGTAGACCATATAGAAACAGATACATCTTTCCACTTATAAATTTGTTAAATGAAGTGTACTATAAATGAAGTGTACTATATATATAGGTGTAAAGAATGCCCTGTAAATGTTAGTGACTCCATATTTGATATCATAGAATACTTGTAAGTTTTTGTAGTAGGGGATTCTTTACTGTTTTTGGATGTATTTTGTCACTTCTAGCAGCACAAACTTTGTGCTGTTTCCTTTTTACCATTCTCAAACAATGAAGTGTACTATATATATGTATTAAGAATGGGAAGCCCAGAAAGTTACATTACAAATATACCATTTTTACTACGTACAAATAATAAAAGCAAAACGCTACACAACAACCCTAATTAAACCCGCGGTTTCATATACGAAGGAATGCGCCACTGCAACGATAGTATATATATGCTACTTTTTGGAGTATCAAAGATCTTGAAAAATCATGTCGCCACTGCAACGGAAGATGCCCCTGGGCGGATGCCAGAGAGCAGAAGAATACGAGAGAAGGAAGAAGCAACTTTAGGATCTTTGTCATGCTGACAAGGCTGAATTTGTTGCTGACTTGCAGGATATAGTTTGTCGCCTGGTGCTTTCTAAATGTGTATATACGGTAAATTTGATTTCCCTGGGAATATATTGGTGGAATGTTCACTTTTAATTAGTCTCTCAATTCTGATAACTTAGTAGAAAAATGCTTTTGATAACGGTGCCTTGTAAAATACCATGGTTTTAATTCTGAATTTGTGATTATTGCCTTTTCTAGAGATGATAATAGCAAGCATTAACCTTAAGGGGTCGTTTGGTAGGATATATTAAGGAAAACAATACATGTAGTAGCTTTGGTATTATTAATCCCTTGTTTTATTAGTTATACACTCTATTCAGTGCTATTCTTATACATAGCAAACCATAGCATTAGCAATACCATTGTTTTTAATACATAGATAAGTATGTATAAAGAGAGAATTTCCCGTTCAAAACCTTCTCCAAATCCTTTTTAAAGAATGTGAAGGGTATTTTTGTAAACAAACAAAAAAATTCAAAATTATGCAATGCATGTTATTTTTAATATACCAAATCAATCAATCAATAAGAAATAATCTCAGCATAACTGATCTCAGTATTACTAATCCCAACATTACTAATATACCATATTCAATACTATACTTATACACCCTACCAAACGGCCCATAAGGATAAAGACTTAATTCTTGCATGATATAATGTTGAAAGAGTTGATAATGATACCATTCTATGCAATTGTAGTGTTTGTAATTGGTTGACTTATTGAAACGCAGTGAAAGTTACATGCCTATGTAAACAACCTCCATTTCAGAATTTGAACCTACTCAGCCAAACGAGAAAGTCTCCATCTCTCTTTAAAACTTATCATCTCCGCAGCTATCTGGTGGATAATCTGGAAGAAAGGAACTCTAGGATTTTTTAGAACAAGAAAGAATCTGTTTTAATAGTCAAATCCAGATGTATTTCTTTACTCTCTTTTTGGTGCACAATGACTTCATTTAACGATGTAGAAGTCATGTTAGATTTTTTTAGCACATTATGAAACCTGTAGTGTTGCTATACTGTATATATTCTTCACCACTCACTTGATGCTGATAATTATATACACATCATTTACTGATCAAAAAAAAAAATTATAATCACTCATTTACTCATGAATCTTTTTCTCCTTAATTTGTACTATTTTATGTTATAATCCAACTTTCTAGTATTTGGTACATCTCATTATTTCATATTTTTTATATCTACTACACTCATACAGAGGGATGATTATACTTTCCTGGGTGAATACCAAAAGGGATGGATATTTCATGTCCATGCAGCATCGAACTACATCCCTCTCACGCTTTTCCAAAATCGCATTTGGGAAACGCTTGTCACCCCCCCCCCCCCCCCCCCACCCGGAAAAAAGGCCTCTCACGCATAGTTTCACTGCTATGAATAGTTGGGATCCTGATATCACCAAAGGAAACTGCTATTTAGCAGAACATACATAAGTTGACTCAGAGTTTCTCAGAAAAGCAAAAGACAGCACAAATGAGTTGAATATTCAATCGAGCAATAATAGAGACTAAATAAAGTGTCACTAATTGGTAAAGGGTAGGACTGTATAAAGCAACACCTTTTCATCTTTAAGAGGCAGAACTTCACCCATCAGAGCAACCCGAGCTGGTAGCTGCATGATAGGCTTTGTCAGTTTATACATAAAAGCTAAATATTCACCAAAAAAAAGGATGCACTCTGTGAGAAGAAGGTTACTCCAGTAAAAGAACCAAATGGAAACAAGAAAGTGATATACAACATAATAATCCACTTCAGTGACTGATAGCCATATTAGAAAAATATTTTGAATGCTAAAGTTTAAAGTATCAGGAGGAGAACAAGAAGTAGGCAAATGAATGGTTCTATACCCACTTTCTTGATGGACTTGAGTAGATTTGCCAGTGGACCTGGCATGGGACTCGTCACAGCAAAAGATCCACGCTCATCTATCATTGTGTTCTACACAGAAAGGAGAAACTGCATGTCAGGTATGCTCTATCTTCCAAATGAACAATCTAACAATGAAGTCTGCATCAGAAATAAAATTGGTATTGCTCAATAGCCAAAGAATTTTATTTTCCCTTACAGTTTCAGAAACTAACGTAGAGCTCTAAAACCCAAACCAGGAATTCTTGAATTAAAATAAAAACTAAGAAATTTCATAAAAGAAGTTTATGAAAAAGTTATGAAGTCCTATAGCAATATCTGTTCAAGACAGATCTAATTATATCCTTGTGATACTGTCTCCAACTAATATACCGTCATAATCACTCCATCGTATATCGTCTCTGATAGCTATAGCTTCAAGAGAAAGGTTTCAAGAGAATAAGAATCGTCATTGACTAGAAATTAGGGGCTTAAGCTCTAAAAGTAAAGTAAAGACAATAAAATAAATCTGCCATCGTATATCGTCTCTGATAGCTATAGCTTCAAGAGAAAGGTTTTGAGAGAATAAGAATCGTCTTTGACTAGAAATTAGGGGCTTAAGCTCTAAAAGTAAAGTAAAGACAATAAAATAAATCTGACTTCCCAAGCATGTAGAAATCAAGAAAAAAGGAAATGACACAGAGAGCCATCGTATAAGGTAATTCAGATTATTCAACAGAGGCTTAGTTATTTCTACATAAAGTAATTCCAATCTTCTTTTTCAGTGTTTTTTCCGTCTTATTTAACATTCCCCAAAAACAAATTTCCCTGTTTACAGGAAGGTCCTTAAGAAGGAGGCTTAGAGGGTGTTTGGATTGGCCTATAAAAAGTAGCTTTTAAGCTAAAAGCCATAAGTTGGTAATACCCAACTTTTGGCTTTTGGCTTATTTTTGTACTTTTTATGCCTAAAAGTAAGTGCTCTTAAGCACTTTTTATCATTGTCAAATACCACACAAACTAAAAAAGTGCTTAAAAGCCAATAAGCACTTAAAATAAGCCCATCCAAACACCCTCTTACTTAATTCTCCAGGTGCTTTGCTTCTCAGACCAGTGAAAATCTTTATCGACACAAAAAAAGTTAAGCATCAACACCCTAAAATAACTCACACCATCTCCTCAGTTTTGATCTGTTCTAAATGTGATAACCCAAACTTCACCCCACTTGTAGAATCTTACTTGCGAATCACAAGCCTGAATTTGTAATTAAGAGAAAACATAATCCTACTCAAAATGGATTTGCAATGAGCTTTGAAATCCATATGGAAGTCCATATTGATCCAGATTTCTAACCATCACGCTTCAGAAAGTCTCACCTACTCTTATTTCATATTTCATTCAATAGGCCATGGATGCAAAAACATGTACAGTCTTCCTTTCCCTTCTCATATTCCTCCTTTTTAGCATAAAGATTTCTCAATGTTATAGTCTTCAGTTTTAATAATCTTATACAGGATAATTGGTACTTGAAGTAGATTTATTGTGGTAAAGGAACTAATTAGAAGATTTGTTCAGCATCTTATAATAAATGGTGAAACTCTCGAGAGTTTGCCTGATGTTCTTATTTCATTCATCAGCTATCGTGTGACCTATAGGTCACGGGTTCGAGCCGTGGAAGCAGGCACTAATGCTTGCATTAGATTAGGATGTCTACATCACACCCCTTTGGATGTGGCCTTTCCCCGGACCATGCATGAACGCGAGATGCCTTGTGCACCGTGCTGCCCTTTTTCAGCCATCGTCATCTTATTTTTTTGGCCAATCAAAAACTCTCATGTTCAGAAGCTGAAATAAGTATGTTGAGATGGATATGTGAGCATACCAAATTAGATAAGATTAAGAATGAAGTTGTTCGAGAAAATGTGAGAATGGCCCCCGTGGAGGATAAGATGCGGGAGGTGAGGCTGAGATAGATCGGGCATGTGAAGAGGAGAAGCACAGATGCCTCAGTTAGGAGGTGTTAGAGGTTGACCTTGGTGGGTATGACGAGGGGTAAAGGTAGGCTAAAGAAGGTGAATAGGCAGGATATGGCGCAGCTGGAGCTTACCGAGGACTATGGCTGTCCAACGGGACGGGCCGTCCCGTCCCGCCTCTCGTCCCAGCCCACTTCATGTTAAACGGGATGGGCCAATGTTGAACGGGACACGGGATGGGACGACCATTTTGTCCCGTGTAAAGGTAGGCTAAAGAAGGTGATTAGGCAGGACATGGCGCACCTGGAGCTTACCGAGGACTATGGTTGTCCAACGGGATGGGCCATCCCGTCTCGTCGCGGTCCCAGCCCGGCCCACTTCATGTTAAACGGGATGGGCCAATGTTAAACAGGACTCGGGATGGAACGGCCATTTTGTCCCGTTTGTCTCGTTCCATTTCGTCCCGTCCCGCCTGTCCCGCCAATTTTTTTATTTCTTTTTTGAATTCTAGTCGTTGAGAAACGGCTCCAATTGCAAAAATAGCTGTTACCAACGGTCAAAAACTTAAAAAAAATAGTCGTTGCAAACTTTAAAAACTTGGTCATTGTCAAAAAACTAGACATTTTTTAAAAAAATGCACTTAAGGCCCGCGAACCCGTCCCGTCCCATCTCGTTTGTTAGCGGGACGGGATGGGCCGACCGTTTCATCCCGTTTGTCCCGTCCCGCCATCGTCCCGCTTAAATGTCGTCCCGTCCAGTCCCGTTGGACAGCCATACCGAGGACATGACCCTTGATAGGAGGGTGTGGAGGTCGAGAATTAGGGTGGAAGGTTAGTAGGCAACCGAACATTTTTCTTTTTCTTTCTCCGATCGTTAGCATTAGTGTTAGCATGGTATCCCTCTATACTTGGATTGCTGGTACTATCTATTGTTTCATTATAATATTTCGCTTCGATTTTTTAAATATCTTGTTATTACCACTTGTTGCCTTTTTAGCCGAGGGTCTATCAGAAATAGTCTCTCTGTCCTCCCATGGTAGGGAAAAGGTCTATGTACACACTACCCTCCCAAGACCCCACCTTGTGGGAACTCACTAGATTTTTTGTTGTTGTTGTTGTAGTAAAAGATAATCTACTAAAAAAAATGTCAGGCAGTACCGAGATGAAACTGCATCATTACAAAAGGTACCAATATGCAGCTCCCTCAAACCTGAAGCGTATCTAAAAGTGTAGTATTCCATCAGAGTCAACCAAAAGCAGCATTACACCATATTTTCAAATTCTGAATACATCTTTTTTTACGAGCGAGAGATCTTCCTCACTTTTATCAAAGCATCTTCGATTTCTTTCCTGTCCACATAATGCAAGGAGGAATGCTCATTCAAGTTTTCTTTAGCCTTTTGATTTACATGTGTGATATGTCTTTACTATTTAAATTGATGTTTTCTCTAATTTATAGAATAATTGGTATTTGAAGCAACTAAAATGTGGCAAAGGAACTATCTAACGGATGTGATTTTTGGTGTCATCGATGATCAATGTTACGAATGCTCAAGATTGGATCTTATTTTTCTATTTAATTCATAAGTCATCATCTACTCTTTCCAGTACTCGATGGGCATTTTCTAAAGAATAACAACTTTACAAAGAGTTGTAGTTTTATGCAAATCAATCTCCTACAAAATGTATTTTACCCATATTATGAATCATGAGTTACTTCCTCTAAAGGGGCGACAATGGTAGGTAGCTTTGTAATAATTACACCTTCACATATTTATCTTCCTTTTTTTTCATGTTTTCAAATTTCCATCTAATCTAAGTTTCGGTTACTCCTTTTATACGTCCCCTTGAAAGTTGTTTGTTTTTGACAAATTACTAATCATATCATACGCGTATCTGAGCATGCCATCTTGCTTATATATTTTAAAACTTCTTCTTACATGGAGAAACAAGATAAACCAAAAATAATAGTCAGATAAATTTGCCCCCAGCAAGCAAAAATAAATAACAAATAAGATCTAAACTGACCAAACTATGCATGCAAGTCAAGAAAACAAAGAGCTTTCTGGGGTATCAACACATGAATCATGCTGCTAGCAGAAAGTATTTGGGCAAAGAATATATATAATACCGTCATTCACTCAACCTCTCTTTGAAGGAGAAACAACAAGGCAATTGGAAGGAGGCAGGAGGTGAGAATAGATGAAGAAGGCTCATTCTTGATTCAAAAAAAAAAATAAAGGCTCAAGTCACAAGCATAAAAATTTTCTTTTTGG